ACAGACAGACAGAGAGAGAGAAAGAGAGAGAGAAAAGAGAGAGAGAGAGACAGGGAGAGAGAAAGACAGAGAGAAAAAGACAGAGAGAGAAAGACAGAGACAGAGAGAGACAGACAGACAGAGAGAGAGAAAGAGAGAGAGAAAAGAGAGAGAGAGAGACAGGGAGAGAGAAAGACAGAGAGAAAAAGACAGAGAGAGAAAGACAGAGACAGAGAGAGACAGACAGACAGAGAGAGAAAAAGACAGAGAGAGAAAAAAGAGTGAGACAGAGAGAGACAGAGAGACAGAGAGACACACAGAGAGAGAAAGACAGAGAGAAAAAGACAGAGAGAAAGAGAGAGAGAGAGAGAGAGAGAGAGACCGAGAGAGAGAGAGAGACAGAGAGAGAGAAAGACAGAGAAAGACAGAGAGAGAGAGAGAGACAGAGACAGAGGGAGGCAGGGAGAGACAGAGACAGAGAGAGAGAAAGACACAGAGAGAGACAGAGAAAAAGACAGAGAGACAGAGAAAGACAGAGAGAGAAAGAGCGAGACAGAGAGACAGAGAAAGAGAGAGAGAGAAAGACACACAGAGAGAGAGAGAGACAGACAGAGAGACAGAATGACACATAGAGAGAGAGAGACAGAGAGAGAGAGAGAGAGAGAGAGAGACCGAGAGAGAGAGAGAGACAGAGAGAGAGAAAGACAGAGAAAGACAGAGAGAGAGAGAAAGACAGAGACAGAGGGAGGCAGGGAGAGACAGAGACAGAGAGAGAGAAAGACACAGAGAGAGACAGAGAAAAAGACAGAGAGACAGAGAAAGACAGAGAGAGAAAGAGCGAGACAGAGAGACAGAGAAAGAGAGAGAGAGAAAGACACACAGAGAGAGAGAGAGACAGACAGAGAGACAGAAAGTGACATAGAAAGAGAGAGAGACAGAGAGGCAGAGAGAGAGAGACAGAGACAGAGTCAGACAGACAGGCAGGCAGACAAGATAGTCAGGGAAAGAAATGCATTTGAAGTCCACACATAATTGCCTCAAGTGTTCAAAGCAGGATTAAGAATACTAATATCTGTCGAGAAGTGTGGGAATCCCTAGTGGGTTGGGTTGCTCTTTGTTTCTATAAAATGACATTTAGATGGAGTTTTAAAAGGCAGTATATTGTGCCTCGAGGAAAACAAACTTGACAGGCTGCCATGAAAAGAAGTATTAAAAAAGGGTCCCTGGGAAAGTCAAATTCTCCGTGACAATAAGCATTAGAATTCCCGTTCTAGTCAAGAAAGGCCATCTCTTCCACCGGCTCCAATTTCGAAGGAACTAAACAGGCAAAACTGAGGAATTAAAAGTCATTTGATGTGGGCTTTTCCGTGTCAAGATACAAGGACTGAGCTGGCCACAAGAAAAGCTTCTGCTATTCAGAATTCAGCAAACAAAGATGCTTGTGAAGGCCATAAACCTCGAAAGAGGTGAAATATAGATTCATCGAGAGCAGTTAATCTTCCAGAGATCTAAAATAGCTGGTAAGATCTCAAATAGCCATAAGAAACTAGGAAGATTATCGTTCGAAATTCTGATTAGATAAAACACCACCCAGAGCAAACAAAGAGCACAGTCACCATGTGCTTTACTGCCCAACTAAATACTGTAACAGGAAACAGGAAACTCTATTAGAACAAAAGAACGTAGATATATCATAGATCCAAATTCGTAAATACTGCCATCTGTTGGCCGAATACTACTGTAGTNCTTTGCGCATTCAGGAATGACATGTGACATCCTTGGTTTAAACAAAGCTCGTATAATTGTTTTGAAACCTCAGAGGTAAACCAGGGACATCCGACTGAAAATATTTACTGGGATGCGAAAATCACCGGTCTGTTTTTGTCCTCTCAAGCCTATTGGAAAGACAAAATTTTATTGATTATTATTTAGGGAAGATGAGAACGTGGCAGAAGAGAAGCAAACTACACCGTATTTTTCGAAGTATAAGACGCACTGGAGTATAAGACGCATCAAGATTTTGAAGAGGAAAATTAAAAAAAAGGTTTTTGCATTCTGCAGACCTCCCAAAAAAAGCCCGCTTTTTGCCAAAAACGGGCCCATTTTTTTTTCCAAAAAAGGGGCATGAATAGCCTTTAGGAGGCTTGTAGAGTGCTCTTGGGGGGGTGGGGCCTCCTAAAAGAAGCAAAAAACAGCCCATTTTTGTCCAACAAAAGGGCATGCATAGCCTTTAGGAGGCTTATAGAGTACTCCTGGGAGCTTGGGGGCAAAATTAAGCAAAAAAATGGCCAATATTTTGCTCATTTCTGCCCTCCCCAACCCCCAGGAGCACTCTGTAAGCCTCCTAAAGGCTCTGCACAGCCATTTTTGCAAAGGGAGCGGGGTTTTGGGAGACCAAAAATGCTGTATTCAGTGTATAAGACGCACCCAGATTTTCAGTCTCTTTTTTGAGGGAAAAAGGTGCGTCTTATACTCTAAAACATACGGCATACACAGTCCAAGTCACTTTTTTCGGCGTCGTTGTAACTTTCATTAGTCACTAAGTGAATTGTTGTAAGTTGAGGACTGCTTGCAGTCATCATCAGAAAAACCAGGAGGAGAAGATAGACATTCCTGAGATCTGACTGTAGATCTGTCCTTCGTTAAACAGGAGGTCGAAAGTCCAGATTTATCGAACGGAGTAGTGTGTGAATTGATCGTCGTGATGCTCCCGTGTGAAGCGTTGTGTCTACAAGGTGTAATTTGGTCCCCTTATTTTTTCCAACCCGGCAGGTGGGAGATCAGATTATTGAAATCAACGGGGAAACTACGAGAGACATGACCCACACCAGAGCAATAGAACTCATCAAATCCGGTGGACGAAGAGTACGGTTGTTACTAAAACGTGGAACCGGGCAGGTCCCAGAATATGGTGGGTTTCCACTTCTTTTATTATGGCTGTCGTTGTGGTGGGGGTGGAGGTTGTCGATTTAGTGGCCCTTACCTTTCACACTACCTGTATTGTGTTTGGTGTAACATGGAAGTAACACTGCAAAAAAAAAGGGGGGGGAGATGTTTGTTTGTGTAGTGGAGTTTCCTCTTTGTCTCCGTCCTGAAGGAACATTCCAGAAAGACGTAGTCCTTCTAGAACATTCTTTCATCCCCTGAGGGGGGAAAAAATTACATGGATGTGGTAGAAGAAAGATCCATTTGTAACCCCACTGACGTCTGGACCCAACTCCTATCCAACCTACTCCCTATAGTATACATCGCTACAGGTAGTCCTCAACGTACGACCAACATGTCTATTGCTAACTGAGACCATTGTTAAGTGAGTTTTGGCCCGTTTTACGCCCTTTCTGGCCCCAGTTAAGTGAATCACTGCAATAGTTAATTAACACGGTTGTTAAGTGAATCCTGCTTGTCAGAAGGTCGCAAAAGGGGATCACACGACCCCTGGACAGTGAAACCGTCATAAATGTGAGCTACGCATCCGAATTTTGATCATGTGACCGTGGGGATGCCATAATGCTCGTAAGTGTGAAAAACGGGTATAAGTTACTTTTTTCAATGCTGTTATAATGGTCACTAAAACAGTGATTGTAATTTGAGGATTACATATACTATTATATCAGACTGGTGCAATATTATTCTTGCTGACATGTTTCCGTACATGAAGTTTGGCCAAATAAATACAATTACAAGGTCTCTCAATTGGACACTCCTGCCTACCAAATTGCCATGAAATACAACATTGCAGAGGATTAACAGATTAACAAGAGTTGGAAGGGTCCTTGTAGGTCATCTAGTCCAACCCACCCCCACCTCCACCCAAGCAGGAGACCCTACACCCGTGATGTTGAACCTGTGGCACCCGTGCCTGTGGGCACACGTGCCTTCACCAGCTGCCCTTCTGGTTTTCAGCATGTCTTCACAGCAGGGGTGGGTTTCTCGCCCCGTTCCAACCGGTTCGGTTGGAACGGGGGCGGCGGCGTCCTCGTGCACGCGCACTGTGCACGCATGCATACTAGCGTCTGCGCGATGCTCTAGCTGCTCCTGGAC